TATATATATATAATAAAATACATGATCCAAAAGTATAACCAAATTATAACCTTGGTAAAATCACATTATATTTGGGTTTATTTCAGTGTCTTTATTGTTAACTGAAACTAAAACTATTAAAAACTGTTAATTGAAATAAAGCTGAAATGAAAAATGTACACAAAAATTAGAAATGTTTAATTTAAATAAGTTGGAGTAACTAAAAATACAAAAATTAAAATTGAAATAATAAATTAAAGCTAAGTATAAATATTAAAAAAAGACAAAAGCACAATAAAACTCTAAACAAACTTTAAAAAAAAACTTTAACTAAAATTAAAATTAAAATTGGTGACGACAGGAAAACGTCAGAAGAAAATACCATGGTACTTTTATTATCATAATCATGTACCATGGTATTTGCATAAATTTACATTATATTTGCAAAATACTTCTAAAAAATGGTCTAAAAGTATAATCTTAAAAACACAATATTAGCATGTTACCATGCCAAAATCACAGCAATACTGGTATTCTATACTTTCATATACCAAGATACTCATTACCATGTTCATATAATATTCACATGGTACTTCAAAGAACACCATGCAATTACCACAAGATAATACCCATAGTAATGTTGTGGTATTTTCTGGTATGTTTCGAGTCATTGTCACTCTTGGAGTTCACTGATCTTTAATATCATTCAGCAGTAAACGTCTCTCAGGAGAACCTGAATGAGACACTGTCGATGCGGCCTGAACAAAAGAGCAAATGAAGTGAATCATTAGTGGCACACAAATCACTTTATTAGGCCAATCAAATTGATTTTCATTCTGCTGTCGTTTAGTAGACGCTTGCCAGCATCAAGGCCTCTAATTGTAATTTTATGACGGACGTGACATTCCATGTTAAACGCCACTGTGAGCAGGACACAAAGTCAGTCCCATATATATATATATATATATACACAAACAATAAGACAAATATACAAATGAAGAGTGCTTTAAGTTTTCAGGTAGGTAAAAATAGAAATTAAATAATCTTCATTTTTTTTCATTAAGCAGGTTTATTAGGTTGCTGTCACTTTAAGACCAAATGCACAGTCTGTTTTTAAGTTGGAGCCTGTTTTTACTGGATCAATTTATAATCTCATAAATAAAATGAAGTATGATGTAAACAAATACAACAATAGCTTCAGTCCGTACAGGAATATCTGTGATTGAAAATACTATATGTGACCCTGGACCACAAAACCAGTCATAAGGGTCAATTTTTCGCAATAAATAAAAAATAAATCAGCTTTCCATTAATGTATGGTTTGTTAGGATAGGACAATATTTGGCCGAGATACAACTATTTGAAAATCTGGAATCTGAGGGTGCAAAAAAATCAAAATATTGAGAAAATCACCTTTAAAGTTGTCCAAATGAAGTTCTTAGCAATGCATATTACTAATCAAAAATTACGTTTTAATGTAGGAAATTCACAAAATATCTTCATGGAACATGATCTTTACTTAATGTCCTAATGATTTTTGGCATAAAAGAAAAATCTATAATTTTGACCCATACAATGTATTGTTGGCTATTGCTACAAATATAACCCAGCGACTTAAGACTGCTTTTGTGCTGCAGGGTCACATATTTTTAATATGCTTCATTTATTTTGATTTGTTGAATACTGTAGCTAAAATGAAAACTTTCTGCCAACTTTCTGAATAAAACAGACAAGAAGAACCTGATCTCAATTCTTCTCTAATTACATAATTAATCTCATGTAAAAGTTTAGTTTGTTTCATTGGGTTTTGGACGCATATGACCTTCTGTAACGCCCATCAGTGCATCAAATGACAGATGATGTTAATAACTGCATAAACGCCATTTAGAAAACGAATAGCATTTATCTTCAGCGTTTGAGTCTGATCTCTTTTGTTCTGGTGTTTATTTGTGAGCCGTTTTTCAAAAGACTCAAGTCGCATCTGTTTGTCAATCAGCATTAAACACACAGTTTCTCGCGGTCTTCAGCGCCGCAGGAACAAAGCAGAGGTCAGAGGTCACGTGTGCATCCTCCATCTCACCTGTGCATTAAAAATATCCAGCGTGAAATGTCACGACAGGACAGGACCGACACAATTCACGTACTCAAACTATACTGTCAATTAAAACAGAAGCAAGCGCGATGCAATTAGTCGTTGTGCACTAGAAGAAAAGCGCAACAGGAGATAAAAACACAAACCCTGTAATTAAAAAATAAGAGAGCCGAGTATTTTCCATGTACCAGGTGGTTTCATCTTGACAAACTCTTAAGATACAATGCAATTACACAAACCTGCAATTAGCCTAGCATCGCTAATTAGTCACAGCACTGAAGAATTGGAGATTGCATTGTTAATCTCTGCTTGTATTAAAAAGTCACATTCGCATTTCTCAACAATTACGTGCGCGCCGCTGCAGGATGGAGACGCGGTACGTGTCTCTCGGCAGATGCTGCTTATTTCTCTGAGGACTTCTGGATGCTTTTGTTGTCGATCGTCCAGCAGTCTCTCGCGGGACAGCCGTGCGTTTGATGAGCGTGAGGATGCTGATGCTCATGAACACACGACGGGATAAAATACTAACTCAAGATGAAGTGTGTTCCCAACGGAAGAGAAATCACACATCAGACTCAACACTGAGAGTCTCTACTGCTTCTCAGCTGTTTCTCCTGGGAAAAGACCTCAGGAGGCTTACATTTATCAAAAACTACATCTGGATCATATTTAGTTCGATGATCAAAGCAAAGATGCAGTAGATCGCTTCCATCAACACCCCCAAAACTTCACACTCCTTTGCCACTTCGGGGATCGACATTTCACTCTGTAACATTAGGCAGTTTTAATTTATATGCTGTTTATTGTTGATGATCACATTGTTTTTCATATGCATATGCATACATAGGAGATCGCTCGTTTCTGCGTCTTCCTCGCCTGTGTTTTTGATCAGCACATTCTAGACTCATTCAGGAGATGCGTAATAGCGCCTCAGAGCGTATAACAGCGAGAACCCGGAAACCCGGAAAATTCTGTGTTTGGCGGGGAAAGAGTTAAATGACTATTTCTGCGATGAGTGATTGAATCATTCAATGAATCGATCATGAACAAAACAAGTGTCAGTCTTTATGAATGAGTCAATGAATCATTCATTGAACAGATTAGATCAAAACAGTGATTCATTCAGGTACAAACCAAGTTACTGTCTACGATATGAGTCACTGAATCATTCACTGAACCCATTACAACAAAACAGTGATTCATTCAGGAAGAAACCAAGTGAGTGTATATATGTGTGAGTCACTGAATCATTCTCTGAACCAATCAGAACACAACAGTGATTCATTCAGAAGCAAACCAAGTTACTGTCTACGATATAAGTCATTGAATCATTCACTGAACCAATTAGAACAAAACAATGATTCACTCAGGAACAAACCAAATGACTGTCTATATGACTCACATTGAATCACTCATGAAGTATATAGTTTCAGCACTATTTTAAAGCACAAGTCTCCCAAACACTCCCACAATCCCCAATATTCATAATAAGTGAGTTTAAATTTTAAAAATACTTCACTGATCCAATAAAAATAAAATTATATAAATTAATTAAATTATAGAAACATAAATTATATGTTTTGTATATTTTATATAAATTAACTAATAAATTAACTGAAAGAAATCACTCTATTATTATTACTATTAATATTTATTAATTTATTTTTTAAAGGAGACATATTATGCCCGTTTTTACAATGTGTAATATAAGTCTCTGGTGTCCCCAGAATGTGTCTGTGAAGTTTCAGCTCAA